AACTATTTTTGAAAAAAATTTTATTTAAATTTAGAAATTGCAATCTTCAGAAGAAATGGATCATATGAAAACAAGAGTAACTCAAAAATTACTTAAAAAACAAATCAATATAAAAGAAAATATGAACATTAATATCATTTTAGTATAATGAGATGGTTGAAAAAGTTAAGAGTAGCACACACCCATTTTTTAATTCTTCCTCATATGGGTTGTAGGGGTGTGGTGTACTAATCAATTAATGAGACTGTCAATTAATCAATCAGCAAATACCACTAATTGCTCAGCTCAACTTAAAATACCAATTACAAAAACATAAAGGTTATTTAAGAAATAATGAAACTGAAAATTGAGCTATAGCAGAACATATAAAAATAACACAACACAAAATTTTATAGAATGAAACTATAATTCAAGCTAAACCTCACACTATGACTGGTAAAAATAACCAATAATCATTAGAAATAGCAAAATTTAAGAAAGAAGTATATTAACCCTATTTGCAAAGGTGTGGGTCAAAGTGTGCACATCAGACCTTTTACAGTTACATTTAAAGTTAAACAACTTTATTATCAATGTATGTCATTGAACCTGGCATCAAAACATAGTGTATAACTTAAATGTTAATATCATATAAGTTTTGATTTCTTAATTTAAAAAGAAAATAAGTAAGATCTTAAGCTTTATCTCCCTTTATCGCGTGATGACTCTTTGCTCTGAATTTTCCTTTTTAGATTTTCTTTCTTTCCTTATGTAGGTTTCAGAATGTTCACTCATTAGAAACACCAACTATAACTCCTTTAAGGCCAGAATTTAAAATACCCCCTTCTCCATCTTATTTACTTCTTCACAAATCAATAAATTTGTTACACCACCACAGAAGGTCCTCCCAACTCTTCATGCTTACTTGTTGATGGTATATGTTTATAACAAACAAAGATGCTATTTCGTGAACTGCATGATTATGACATCTTTAAGTTAATTTATTTCAGTAAAAGGCACCATTTCCCAAGTAGGTTTTATTGAGTGAAGACTGAAGTCAATGATTCAGTAAGTAATGAAATTGTTATAACTTATAACAATATAGTGTGGAAAAAGTAGTCTTAGCAAAGTATGTTCTTGAGTTCAAGTAGGTCTACATTAGTCCCTCTTAGATACGACAGATCTATCTGCCATTATAAAAAAGTTTTTATATATATGACAGGAAGTTGTCTTTCAAAAGATCAATAACTAGATAACGAATGACCGAATTCAAGCTGTGCCAGATGCTGGAGCATAATGGTTTAAATACTGTATAGGTAATCAGATGACACAGCAAACTGATATAATATTAATAACAGTTATGATGGATAACAGTTCAATAAAGATAACTTAAAATTGTTTTGTTTGTGTCTTATGTAAAATAATTTATTCATCAATCACATTTATTTCATAAAACATACATGTATCACATTTTTATTTCATACATGTAAAATATAACAAAGTGACACCAAATTTATTTCATAGCTGTTGTTTGGTGTAGGACTGAAATATGGTCATGCTTACTTATGACAGCTCAACTTAGAGCATGTTTTATTTTTGTGTGTGTTAATGGAATTATAAAATACACAGTAATGTATTACTTTTCCAGACTTTCTCCCTTTTAACAACCCTGGGTGACATTAAAAACTCTGAATTATGTCAATTGGCAGAAAATTCTCTTCCTTATCCTTTTATACAGTAATTTTTAGCCATTGGCTCTAACTATTTTCAGAGCTAAGCTTCATTTATATTTGCTTGGATGACATGCATTGACACCATATAAGATTGTCAACAAAGGACTGGAGTAATAAAACCACTGACAGAGAATGGAAATGACTTTAAAAATAAGACATGGATCATTATATTTCCATGGAATGATAGTTTCTTAGCATATATAAACCTAAAAATTGATAAATGCATTGTTTACAGGCAAAGTTTCTCTGAGCTATGCGGAAATGAAAGTTAGAACATTTAAAATTTTTCATTGTGAAATACTCTAAATAAATCAAAATGGTGTATTTAAGTGTTTTACACTCACAAAAAAGAAACCTATCATTCTAATGTTACTTGAAGAACGTAGCTTTCCGCCACAACTTAGTTCTTCGTATTGTTAGCTGACACTGAGCAGCTGGTACATAATTGAATAAAGTAGTTTAAACATTTGTTTAACAACAAGTAAAAGCTTGGAATGGTCTATTCTTTCATTAGGGGTGTGTCTGTCAGCCAGAATAGTTTCGGAGAATTCCACTCCTCATCAGTGACCATCAATGAAATATTAGACCAAAACAAGCCTTTATAGTAGTGAGGTATCGAAAATCGAAATGGTGTCTTTAAGTGTTTTACACTCACAAAAAAGAAACCTACTTTAAATAAATGTTATATAATAATGAAATATCTATAATAAAAAATATTTATGAGTTAAATACTTTGAAACAAAATAAGAATTATATT